GGGTGGGGCCAGACCCTAGAGCCATCCTGGAAGCAAATGTGCATTCTTCTCTTTATACTCTTTATACTTAAGAAGAAGAAGTTGTTTAAAGAAATTGTTGACGGACAGACGACGGATGCCACGGTATGGCATAAGCTCACCTTGGTCCTTTGGACCAGGTGAGTTAAAAATATATTCAAGTTAATCCTCAGTATTAACTAGAACGCTGACAGGTCAGTAAGGGCCCCGTCTTGTGGCAATACATCCCCCATAATCATCAAGAAGCAATCTGCCCATATAGCTGAGCTTGACATTTGAACTTCAAAAAGAATCGCAAGGAAGCAAAATATACATTTTACATGTACTATGATGTGAGTCTTGTTTACTTCCACCTCCATATTTGCTGGGCTAACAGAAATGTAAATACCGGTGCAATACTCATTTGTTAGCTTTGATTTGTTTTATTTTCACCTTATATACCTCCTCCATCAAGACTGAAGACCAAATGCAGTCCTTTTCAGTACATTTGAAGCACCAATGAGGTCCCCCCCCCCCCCCCCAAAGTACAAATGCAGCTCCAATGAAGCACCCGCTTCAAATGTGCTCCACTAAAGGACTGCGAAAAATGTGTCCGTTTATAAGGGGGAAGTACTAATGCAGTCCCTGTTCCAATTATGCAAATGAAGCATCAAAGGGACTTCCAAGAAGCGCCTTTGCAGCACCCAGAAAACAGTGCTCGCAGTACCAATGCAGTCCCCTAGAAGTACCAATGCAGTCCCTAGAAGTACCAATGCAGTCCCCTTGCAGTACCAATGCAGTCCTCTAGAAGTACCAAGGCAGTCCCCTAGAAGTACCAATGCAGTCCACTTGCAGTACCAATGCAGTCCCCTTGCAGCACCAATGCAGTCCCCTTGCAGTATCAATGCAGTCCCCTAGAAGTACCAATGCAGGCCCCTTGAAGTACCAATGCAGTCCCCTCGCAGTACCAATGCAGTCACCTTGAAGTACCAATGCAGTCCACTAGAAGTACCAATGCAGTCCCCTTGCAGTACAAATGCAGTCCCAATGCAGTACCAATGCAGTCCCCTAGAAGTACAAATGCAGTCCCCTAGCAGTACCAATGCAGTCCCCTTGCAGTACCTATGCAGTCCCCTTGCAGTACCAATGCAGTCCCCTTGCAGCACCAATGCAGTCCCCTTGCAGTATCAATGCAGTCCCCTAGAAGTACCAATGCAGTGCCTAGAAGTACCAATGCAGTCCCCTTGCAGTACATATGCAGTCCCCCTAGAAGTACGCAGCACCCAGAAAACAGTGCTCGCAGTACCAATGCAGTCCCCTAGAAGTACCAATCCAGTCCCCTAGAAGTACCAATGCAGTCCCTAGAAGGACCAATGCAGTCCCCTTGCAGTACCAATGCAGTCCTCTAGAAGTACCAAGGCAGTCCCCTAGAAGTACCAATGCAGTCCACTTGCAGTACCAATGCAGTCCCCTCGCAGTACCAATGCAGTCTCCTAGAAGTACCAATGCAGTCCCCTAGAAGTACCAATGCAGTCCCCTTGAAGTACCAATGCAGTCCCCTCGCAGTACCAATACAGTCCCCTTGAAGTACCAATGCAGTCCCCTAGAAGTACAAATGCAGTCCCCTAGAAGTACCAATGCAGTCCCCTTGCAGTACATATGCAGTCCCAATGCAGTACCAATGCAGTCCCCTTGAAGTACCAATTCAGTCACCTTGCAGTACCAATGCAGTCCCCTAGAAGTACCAATGCAGTCCCCTTGCAGTACAAATGCAGTCCCAATGCAGTACCAATGCAGTCCCCTTGCAGTACCAATGCAGTCCCCTTGCAGTACATATGCAGTCCCAATGCAGTATCAATGCAGTCCCCTAGAAGTACCAATGCAGTCCTCTAGAAGTACCGATGCAGTCCCCTTGCAGTACCAATGCAGTCCCCTAGAAGTACAAATGCAGTCCCCTAGAAGTACCAATGCAGCCCCCTTGCAGTACATATGCAGACCCAATGCAGTATCAATGCAGTCCCCTAGAAATACCAATGCAGTCCCCTAGAAGTACCAATGCGGACCCCTTGCAGTACCAATGCAGTCCCCTAGCAGTACCAATGCAGTCCCCTAGAAGTACCCTTGCAGTACATATGCAGTCCCCTTGCGGTCCCCTTGCAGTACCAATGCAGTCCCCTGGCAGTACATATGCAGTCCCCTTGCAGTACCTTTGCAGTACATATCCAGTCCCCTTGCAGAACATATGCAGTACCCTTGCAGTACATATGCAGTCCCCTTGCATAACATATGCAGTCCCCTAGAAGTACCAATGCAGGCCCCTACAAGTACCAATGCAGTCCCCTAGAAGTACCCTTGCAGTACATATGCAGTCCCCTTGCAATCCCTTTGCAGTACATAACAGTCCCAATGCAGTCCCCTTGCAGTACATACGCAGTCCCCCTAGAAGTACCAATGCAGTCCCTTAGAAGTACTAATGCAGTCCCCTTGCAGTACCAATGCAGTCCACTAGAAGTACCAATGCAGTCCCCTTGCAGTCCCAATGCATTCCCCTAGAAGTACCAATGCAGTCCCCTACAAGTACCAATGCAGTCCCCTAGAAGTACTAATGCAGTCCCCTTGCAGTACCAATGCAGTCCCATAGAAGTACCAATGCAGTACATATGCAGTCCCCTTGCAGTACATATACAGTCCCCTTGAGGTACATATGCAGTCCCCTTGCAGTACATATGCAGTACCCTTGCAGTACATATTGCAGTACATTTGCAGTCCCCTTGCAGTACATATGCAGTCCCAATGCAGTATCAATGAAGTCCCCTAGAAGTACCAATGCAGTCCCCTAGCAGTACCAATGCAGTCCCCTAGAAGTACAAATGCAGTCCCCTTGCAGTACCAATGCAGTCCCATAGAAGTACCAATGCAGTCCCCTTGCAGTACCCTCGCAGTACATATGCAGTCCCCTTGCAGTCCCCTTGCAGTACATATGCAGTCCCCCCTAGAAGTACCAATGCAGTCCCCTTGAAGTACCAATGCAGTCCCCTCGCAGTACCAATGCAGTCCCTTCGCAGTACCAATGCAGTCCCCTAGAAGTGCAATGCAGTCCCCTTAGGGGACTGCATTGTACCAATGCAGTCCCCTAGAAGTACAATGCAGTCCCCTAGAAGTACCAATGCAGTACATATGGAGTACCCTTGCAGTACATATGCAGTCCCCTTGCAGTACATATGCAGTACCCTTGCAGTACATATTGCAGTACATTTGCAGTCCCCTTGCAGTACATATGCAGTCCCAATGCAGTATCAACGCAGTCCCCTAGAAATACCAATGCAGTCCCCTAGAAGTACCAATGCAGCCCCCTTGCAGTACATATGCAGACCCAATGCAGTATCAATGCAGTCCCCTAGAAGTGCCAATGCAGTCCTCTAGAAGTACCGATGCAGTCCCCTTGCAGTACCAATGCAGTCCACTAGAAGTACCAATGCAGTCCCCTTGCAGTACCCTCGCAGTACATATGCAGTCCCCTTGCAGTCCCCTTGCAGTACCAATGCAGTCCACTAGAAGTACCAATGCAGTCCCCTTGCAGTCCCAATGCATTCCCCTAGAAGTACCAATGCAGTCCCCTACAAGTACCAATGCAGTCCCCTAGAAGTACCAATCCAGTCCCCTTGCAGTACCCTTGCAGTACATTTGCAGTCCCCTTGCAGTACATATGCAGTCCCCTAGAAGTACCAATGCAGTACATATGCGGTACCCTTGCAGTACATATGCAGTCCCCTTGCAATCCCTTTGCAGTACATAACAGTCCCAATGCAGTCCCCTTGCAGTACATATGCCGTCCCCCTAGAAGTACCAATGCAGTCCCCTAGAAGGACCAATGCAGTCCCCTTGCAGTACCAATGCAGTCCACTAGAAGTACCAATGCAGTCCCCTTGCAGTCCCCTTGCAGTACCAATGCAGTCCCATAGAAGTACCAATGCAGTACATATGCAGTACCCTTGCAGTACATATGCAATCCCCTTGCAGTACATATGCAGTCCCCTTGCAGAACATATGCAGTACCCTTGCAGAACATCAGTACCAATGCAGTCCCCTCGCAGTACCAATGCAGTCCCCTAGAAGAACAATGCAGTCCCCTAGAAGTACCAATGCACTCCCCTAGAAGTACCAATGCAGTCCCCTAAAAGTACCAATGCAGTCCCCTAGAAGTACCCTTGCAGTACATATGCAGTCCCCCTAGAAGAACCAATGCAGTCCCCTAGAAGTACCAATGCGGACCCCTTGCAGTACCAATGCAGTCCCCTAGCAGTACCAATGCAGTCCCCTTGAAGTACCAATTCAGTCACCTTGCAGTACCAATGCAGTCCCCTAGAAGTATCAATGCAGTCCCCTTGCTGTACCAATGCAGTCCCCTTGCAGTACCAATGCGGTCCCCTAGAAGTACCGATGCAGTCCCCTTGCAGTCCCAATGCAGTCCCCTAGAAGTACCAATGCAGCCCCCTTGCAGTACCCTTGCAGTACATATGCAGTCCCCTTGCAGTCCCTTTGCAGTACATAACAGTCCCAATGCAGTCCCCTTGCAGTACATATGCAGTCCCCCTAGAAGTACCAATGCAGTCCCCTAGAAATACCAATGCAGTCCCCTAGAAGTACCAATGCAGTACATATGCAGTACCCTTGCAGTACATATGCAGTCCCCTTGCAGAACATATGCAGTCCCCTAGAAGTACCAATGCAGTCCCCTACAAGTACCAATGCAGTCCCCTAGAAGTACCCTTGCAGTACATATGCAGTCCCCTTGCAGAACATATGCAGTCCCCTTGCAGTACCAATGCAGTCCCCTAGAAGTACCAATGCAGTCCCCTAGAAATACCAATGCAGTCCCCTAGAAGTACCAATGCAGTCCCCTTGCAGTACCAATGCAGTCCCCTCGCAGTACCAATGCAGTCCCCTAGAAGTACAATGCAGTCCCCTAGAAGTACCAATGCAGTCCCCTAGAAGTACCAATGCAGTCCCCTAGCAGTACCAATGCAGTCCCCTAGAAGTATCAAATCCATAAGCCCGGCCTATAGGTATATGTCAACCGTTGAAAACTGAAACTGTAAATAGCAATAAATGTGCCTTAAAAGAAAAAACAAAATATATTGTATAACAAAATCAATATTTATTTTAAGAAAAGTTCAGTGTAACACAATAATCTTAATTTTTGTCACAAATGCAGACATATGCCACAAGCCTTTGGTGAGTGACCTATGAAAGTACTTAACGAGTTTGATGAATTCCATACTACTTGACAGTAAGTTGACACAAGTGTAAGATTCTATTTATCACATAGCTTTTTTTTTGAAAATTATACATTTTATAACCAAGTCAAATTTATTTCTATACAATTATATTAAGACAGACAAAAGTATGCTTTGAACGTTACGTTTCTTCACTTTTCAGACAAAATGCGTGACATCATTTATTTATTACGTTATAATAGTGCCATAACACATGTTTAATGATCAATAATCAAGAGGCCCTGGATCATGAAACAATCAAAATTTCAAAATTTGACTGCTTTTGTTTTAATTTAATTTGATAATCTAGATATCAATAGGTAATATATATTATATATATATAACTACCCTATTGGGACTCTCAATCAGATTTAACATCATATACCAAGAACCAATCAATACCAATAGCAGATGTCTCCCTTCCCTATTAACCTCAAAGCAATTCCATACTTCTTTTTAAACACTGTAGGCCCCAGGCAACTGCAGTTATTGCACAGTAACTGACATTAATGTATAGCAGTGACCTTGACCTCTTGGGTATTACATATGCTTGTCAAACAAAGTCAAACATGGTTTTGCCTTTTGTGGGCACTGTTCTGTTTGTTCCTGTACGATGTCAATGTACTTCGCATAGCTCGCAGAATATCACTCCTCTTCGTCTGCGAGTGAAGTGTCGAAAATGCTGAAAAAGATAATTGGGTTTCTTTAAATTTGATTTAAAACGCTTTACATGATCAGATACAACACATTCTATGTTCATTTCTATGTGATTGTTACTGTATGTATACAGATGCATTGAAATAATGGTATTTGGTAAGTCTTTATTGTCTACATTATTGCAATTGGAGCAGAATTCTGTCCGATAAAGAAAGAAGCTGTTTAATATGTTGTATTTTCTTAACCAGCTAATTATGTGCTCTTAAAATAAAGTCCAGAAATTATATACTTTCGTGTCCAAAATAAAAAAAAGTGTAGCAGGTACATTTAGGTCGGGGGGGAAAAGTTAAATAATTAGAGTGTAAATGATGCAGTAACATTGATTAAAATTCTGCAATAAACTAGAATTGTAAGCCTCCAGACGGCTAACTAATATATACCATGTATGCACCCTTTAAACCACGGTGCATATCTCCAAAAAAAATAAGGATCTTTGTTCAGGTAATGCGTTGGCAGTGAAATTCTGACTTTTGGTGTAAAGCTGCTAAAGTTATGGCCTGGAATTATAGTTCCAGTTACCTTGACCTTTCAGTATTGCCAGGGTAATGTGTTTGTAAAGTAAGGACATTTCAGGTACCCCCTTTTCAAATTACATAAAAAAAATCATGCATCACTTACCGATAATCGCTTCGGTGGTAGTAAAATCCAGTGGATCATATTTTGCCATTTCTGAGGATGTTATGCTGCTTTTCGCCAATGTCTCCTTCCTAAAGAACACGTTAAGCAAAAAGCGTGCAATTTTCCTCCCGTCATTTGAGACCCCCTTGTTTTTGGCAGTATGTAGCTGGTCCTCATGTAGGTAAACACAGGATCCTACAACCAGCTCGACCATCTAAAACATACAGGCATAAATATTGTCAAAATAAAAAGTGCTAATTGTAACAGGAACAATGTTTATAAGTATGGAAAATTTGGTGAACGTTGGTGAAATGGCAAGAAAGTTATGCTCTGGACAAACTTAGGCGACGGAATGACGGACTTACTGACAGATGGAGTGCAAACCTATAGTCCCCTCTAAGGCTCTGGTAGTACCGATGGTGGACTAATTAATAAATAGAGGATCTCACAATGGAGTCACACAAGTTTCCATTTATGTGAAACTTATAAAACGTGTTTAGAATGCTGTAATTTTGCAAGGCTCTGCCGAGCAATATTATAACATTCTTAACGAGTTTCATAAATTTCATATCAAATGGAAGCGAATGTGAGATTCTTTTTATCATACGACTCTATTTTAAAAGCAAAAGTCAACTTAATGGCCCGTCTTGGATGAATTCATGTCAATAGATTTCTATTGTGACGTCATAATCCAAATGCTTTATGTAAACAAAATTTATGTAATGAGTGTAACTGTTATTACGTATACACTCATAACGGGGTAATCATATGATAAATTAAAATAAGTATGAAACATCTAAATATGACAAACAATTTCCAGTACTTTTAAAGGACGTTAATTGGGTGAAGAAAAAAAAGTCAATCAGAGTAATTAAGGAACAAATCCAACAAATCCAACTTACCCAATTTCTAGCAGCAAATTCAGCGTCAGAATACACACCAGCTGCAGGTCTTGATTTTGAATTTCTGTCCAAATTATTTTCATGAGCAACTGAAAATCACACAAATGAAAGAAAAGGTCAGCTAAAGTTCAGTGATTAATCTATTACTGCTTGAATCATATGAATGATTTTATATTAAAACGGTGAAAATTGTTTTCAGTTCATCATTGTCATGTATGGACACATCTTAAGAAACAATACCACCAACTCCCCATGTATTCATCTGTTACAGATTGATATTTAAGGCAATAATTTTAAGCACTTTAAATATATACAAGTGCAAAGTAAAATTTTAATGTATTTAAGCCGGGGGTATTTATATATGACATATTTTAGTTTTTACAGTAACTAAAAGTGGCCTTAATAATTCACACTTAATATATCAGTGCAAGGTTTCATCAAGAAGTGCCACCAAGGCACCAAGTTTTTTTTCTCGCAACACTAATATCTGTTCCTTCTTTTCTCTCGCCAAATCATCCTTTTTCTTGTTTTTCTCCAGAAGTGCTGGTTGCTCACTTTCTGACATCAACATTGACAATATTGGTACAATTGGGTAAAACTAACAAGAGCACCACACACCAGGGGTGTACAATTCCACTAGCCCGACGCCCAAGGCTAGTGGATTTGAAGTCAGGGCTAGTGAAAATGTTCTTATTACCTATAACAAGAGGCCCAAGAGGGCCTGTATCGCTCACCTGAATATTTAAGCAGTCATAGCAAAATATTCTCATTAAATATTATATTGCACTATAAATATTTCCCTCGCAAACTTTGTTGGCTCCATCTGTTGAAACTACCAGCAAAATATTACTATAAGATTCTATGCTTTTTGATTCTTCTTCAGAAGTTGCTTGACATACTTTTCCCTGTGATCTTGTAAGTAGGTCAATGTCATTTTCCTTCTCAAATTGGTTAGCTCTATTCCCAAAAGCTACCAGCCAATCTTATGAATCCATTTCTTTTAGTTCTCAAGAACAAATCCATTAAAATGTTGTTGACCTCTGTGACCTCTAAAGTAGGTTGAGGTCATTTTCATTTGCAAACTTTGGTGAGCTCTATCCC